TAAAAGATACGCATGAATGTAAAACGCATTAATCGAATATAAACAAAATTGACAAACAAAATAGTTACCCATTTTTAAATTTTACAAACTTTTTTATTAATCGGTATTTATAAGTATAAAAAAATCAATTTTCAATTACTATGAAGATGTTTTACCGCATTAATCAAGTATTATTCAGGTACTAATCGAATTTTGGTATAAAAGTTTTTAGGGCACTAATCGCATTAAACGCATTAATCAAGGGATTCCTGTGTGTGTGTGTGTGTGTGTGTGTGTGTGTGTGTGTGTGTGTGTGTGTGTGTGTGTGTGTGTGTAAGGAAGTTTGGTATTTAACGGCAGATAATATATCTTTTCCCTTTCTTTTTTCACAAAATACCTAAAATACCTCTTCTGAGTTTTATCCATGAAGTTGAGATATCTGGTAAGCTAATTTTTACATAGACCTTGTAGACAACGCGTACTGCTAACGAACCTAACTCAATAGTATTAGATATGAATAGTGGAGTTCTTACAGACTATTAAAATAATATACAATGGTTTCAACATGTGACATCTTACATCTTCAATTAGCAATTCTCTTGTCTAATAATCACTGAAATAAACTTGTTCTAAATCTAGAACGAAATTGAAATCTAGAATGAACCTTTGTCTGTTGTTAATTTTTGTTTTTATTTTGATTTGTTTGTTGTAAAGAACTTTGCATCTTAAAATCGAAACGTTTGAATTTTTAAATCGTTGTCTTCACCATATTTATTTATTATAAAACCCAGATTGTGTGTGTGTCTGTACGTTTATATATCGGAACGGATTTCCTACATTTTTTAACCGATTTCAACAAAACTTCACAGGACTACGTAAAATTAACTTGCGGTGGTTCTGACAGCGCCAAAAATTGGAAAAACATAATTGTTTTTGCATGAAATCAATTTGAAAACACGATTAAGAGGCATCGCGAGAATGAAAGGAGAACAACTCATATCGAGTTATACTTATTATAAAACCCAGGTTATTTTGTGTGTTGTGTGTGTGTGTGTGTTCGTTTATATATGGGGTCGGATTTCCTACATTTTTCAACCGATTTCAACAAAACTTCACTTTTTTTGGCAGGTAGTGTTTCTTATCGTCTTGCACACATTTTTCTTTATTTTTACATTCAGAATGCTTTAAAAATTCCATTTACAAGACAATTGTTTATAATAAAATTCTATTCAATCGGTAGACTCATAACGATTGAAAACAATGTTTTTGTTTGAGTTTGGGTTTGACCAATTCGTAAAAACAACTAATTAAGACATGCGTGTCCGTCAACCTTAAACAATAATCTTTGTCAATTTCATTTTTCAGTCTTTATGATGGTCGATACTTGATCTATCTCTTACTGTTACATCCCCGGGCAACGCCGGGCGCTACTGCTAGTAGCTTCTATATCTTTAGGAGCTGCAAGTTGACTTTACTCGCCTTGGAGTCGTGGCTAAGATCTTCATCTTGAAGTTGTTGCGGAGGCGGAAAAGGGTAACCTAGGAGACAGGAAATTGTTGTTGTTACTGCTGTGGAGGTTAATTCCTTCTCCGCCTCGGCAAACGTAAATTCAAATAAAAAGAAAAAAACTGAATATAGGTAAATAAATATATAGTTTATTTACATATATACAATTCTAGTAACTTATATCTTTTGCTGTTGCTAAGGCAACAAGGAAAAGGAATGGTGAAATAGACATTGGTGATCGTTGTCGGTTGTGTTTCTCTCTCAGTGCTTCGGTGTTGATATAAACCCTGGCCCATGTCGCGTCTCTCTTTCTCAGCTTGCCTGTGTTGACATCGAACGCTGCTCTGTTTTGGGTTTGTTTGAATTAGAGAATATATAGACATCAATCGGCTCTGAATTAAGGTTTTGGTTTTTGAAACAGGAGTGGCTCTGACTGGTTAATAAATAGTTCGTTTTATTTTGATTAAATCGAATGTATGCGTGGAACCAATGTGCAGAAAACGTATTTACACAGTCTGTTTTGTGTCGTCGAACGGTCAACATCTGATTCGTATAGAAAAATATAAGAAACCCAACATAGTAATGGTTATCAAGCTAGTCATTCCTACTATACAGAGTTCGATCCTCACTCAGTCACCTATTCTAGAGGACATACTATGGCGGAGTTGGTAAAATAAAACCTGTATTTATATGTTCTTTATTTTTCTCGATTGTTTTCTATGTTTTTATTTTATTGATTGTTTCTTTTTTATTTTTTTGAAAATGTGTAAAGCTTTCATCATTGTGATTATACATGAATTCTTTTGGCTCATTTTTCTCATCGTTGCTTTTTTTTATCACAAATTTTGTAATGGACGCGGTAATATGGTAATTTCGCGCAGTCTCTCCCCCCCCACCATTCACAGACAGAATGTAAGATCCATGTACCGGACCAGGGCTTTACGCTGACCTCACCCAACAGGCTAGCCGAGATTAACTGACGAAATATTGGAGGGAATAAATAATAAAATAATATGTGATGAATATTCAAGTTTCGTGTTATCTTTTAATCAGTATTACACAAAATAGGAAGAGGAGTGCAACACGGATGTTTTTTGCTCACTGGATTTACATAACATCTACAACGAAATGATTCAAAGTAAATAATATTACCTATTAGGAGAAGCCTGTGGGTTGTGGTGCAGATCACCCTTCTCCGAACTTCGTGGACTATGGCTACAGAATCTTAAACAAAGAACATTTGAGGACTTTCAACAGCAGCAACAAGTACAATGAATATCTCACGTAACTCGAAGAGAAAATAAAGACATAATGAAGATGCTGACGTTCCACACTACTTTAAACAAAATATTAGAAAGGATGCCCCCGTCAATACTGGAAAGATCAATAGCAGTTACTGGACTTGAGAAACCTATTTTCCTGAAAAAAAATAAGAGAAAGATTATAAATTTCAACCAAAAGCAGCACTGGCACCTCAGTCAATGAAAGCTAAAAGATTCTTTATAAGAAACGGTTAATATTATCACTACCATATTCCTTCGGATTGTAGGCGATAATGGTTCTATAGGCATTCCTTTTTCTTTATTAAATATAAACTGATATCTATTCTTGAGAAAGATGGCGGAATGATTCCTCGTTGCCTTTCTGGTTTAAAATGCCAATTTTTCTTGCTCTTAGACAGGCTGTTACTCAAGGTGAGGAAGTCTAGTATACCCTAGCTCATAACTGGGAGGTGGAGAAGAGATGGATTCATGCCTTTTCTTAAATCCATTTTATGCGAAAGTGAACATCAGAGGTTAGGCGGAGATCTGACGTCGGATATCGGCGCGAAACTTCCCACTTTCTACACCGATAATCGCTACGCTAACCGAACATCCAATACCGATAATTGTGGAATAATTATTTCCTTAGAGGCTGTCCGTTATTTAATTTCTTTTTAATCAATTCACCCCAAGTAAGGCGATAATGTCACTAAGATGTCAGGGGTAACTGGTAGTAAAAGAAAATGAAAAAGACATTAGAGGGAACCAGAAACCCAATAACAAACAAGAAACAAGGGATAAACCACTACTCCTGTTCAAAAGACCGGGGAGTATGCTGAAATATGGGATTTTGTGAGGAGACCATAACGTCCTCCTCTTCTCAACTGAGAAAGAGAGAGAGAGAGAGAGAGAGAGAAAAGGGGAGGACGAAAAAGATAGACAGGAGGAAAGAGAGAGTGAGGTGAGGAGGGAACTATGTAGAATTCATAGGAGAACCTCTATTATGCTAATACTCTCTAGTTGGTACATGAACAGTTTGAGGCACAGCAAACATTGCCTTTCATAATAGTACTAGGCATCCATCAATATCAGAAGACTATGTAGTCTACTTGGGTGCTTAGATAATCTATGTTTCAGACGCTTGCTCAGGCAAATTTAGTATTTCTTCAATTTATGCTGCAACTATGCTAAGTGGCTCTTAGTTACAGTTTCTAGGAGAGTGAGTATAATCTGGACTGATCAATTGTTGAAAAAGACTAATACGTTCAAACCCTCGGCCACGACAAATTGCAAATTCGTGCTAAGACGACCATCGCCGGCTTTCGAATAGTTCCGCCTACCCATTTCCGCTCACAAGGCTTGGGTCATCTTGTGGTTTTCAATAATTTCTCAACAGTACCACACGCTAGGATCGTCTTCCCATGCCGATATTACCAAGAACACATCTATTGCGGTGAGATTCAAGCCTGGGATCTTAGGGTCGGAATGCTAACTTGGTCATGTGCTTATTTTCATTCTGTAAGGTTGGTGTCAATCAGAGTACAGTAAACATCGGCTTAGACTATACGGATATCTTGCTAGGTCAGTTTTATTCCCTTCTCTTTTGTCTCCGCTGTATTATTATTATTCTAGTAGTCATAGGAGCTTTATGAATTATTGATACTAATAGACACAGTAAGAAAATCCCAGAAATCTGAAATACAAAAGATTTTTTTAATGAGCATTGCTGATATATTTAAGAAAACTCTTTTAACAATCTACTAAGAAAAGTCTGCATTCAACGGGGATCCCTGCAGTCATCCTAAAGCAATGTGCTCCTGAACTTTGCTTCTGTTCTCGCCAGACTCGCTGCTTTTTTTTTCTTTCCAGCTTATTGGTTATTCTCCTCTGTACTTCCTGTTTTTAAGAACTCCCAGGGGATCCTCAAATTATCACCCTCTTAGTCTCTTACCACTTTATATTATGGAGTTCACGTGGTCCAACGTTATTTGTAAATCTCCCCGATAAACTACAGTGGTCGAATGTTATTCTAAAAGGAACAAATCCGAGAAAACTGCCCCGAAAGAACCAATGTATAATCGTAAGAACAGCTCGTGTCAGAATATATTTGCTAACCTTTGCTTTTTTTTTCTGTTAGGGTTGGTGACCTTCGCAAACTGCTGGGGTGCCAAATGCGGTGCCATTTTCCAAAACATTGTAACTTTTACCAAAGTTTCAGCTTTGGTTGTCATCATTGTTGCTGGGATTGTACATATGAGTCAAGGTAAATAAATTTTAACTCTATGAAAAATATTGAAGAAATAATAATAATAATAATAATAATAATAATAATAAATGTACTCATGATACACACAACATTGTTCTCAGGGTTTCTGTTCTTAACTAATTGGAAGTGTTAACTTTTACATGTTTTGTCTTGGTGACTGAAGATTCAGTAAATATTCCGTTCAGTACCACAGAGTTGCTTCTCACGTGCCATTATTCTCAGTAGTTATAGAAGCACTAGTAATGATTAATACCCCCGATATTTCTTATTGTGTATGAGCAATGCTCATACACAATAAGAAAATCACAGGAAAGTCATCTTTATCTGAAATACAAACATTTCTGTTAATGAGTACTGCTCATATATTTAGAAAAGCACTTTCAAAAGCACCTAACAAAAACTTGCATTTATCTCAGGTGTCATGTGAAAAACTTGGTAAATGATTGTAGTAAATAGAAAATTAAAAAGAAATAATAATAATAAATGTGCTGTTGCTACATCAGGTATGTGTCTTATGGCTTCTGATTTTATTTGATTGGTCGTGTGAACATGTATAGGTTTTTCTTGATCATTTAAGATGGGCTACAATAATTATCCTTTTCAGTATGTCACTTTGGCTTGCCAGTTACCATTATTCTAGTAGTTATAGGAACACTAGGAATTGTTAATACTGATACATACAGTAAGAAAATCTCAAGAAATTCAACAACCTCCCAAGGAAAACCTGCATTCAACGGGATACTTAAAGAAATGTGCTCCTGAACTGGCTCCTGTTCCCTCCAGACTTTATAACAAATAGCTCGCTGCTTTTTGCTTTCCAGCTTATTGGATGTCCTCCTCTGTACTTCCTGTTTGTAAGAACTCCCGGGGGTCCTCAAATTATCACCTTATTAGTCTCTTTACCCCATTTTGTACTCAAGACTCTAATCAATGCTGAATTGGTTAAGCATCTTACTTCACATAGGCTCCTTTTGGACAAACAATATGGCTTCCGTTTCTCAGCTCTACCGTCGACGTTTTAATGGCCATCATTGAATTTGTCTATCAAGCTTAAGATAACGGTGAAGATCGCGCTGTGACTTTAGATATCTCAAAGGCGTTCGACAGAATTTGGCATGCTTGCCTTCTCCATCAGACTCAAGGGCCACGGTGTCACGGGACAAATATTTAGCTTAATCCAATCGTTCCTAACACATCGTGTAATGAAATTTGTGTTGAACTGGCACACTTCTAGATCATTCCATACTAATGCGTGTACCCCCAGGGCTTTATCCTTAGATGTATGCTGTTTCTGATCTTCATCAAAGATCTTCCCGATGTCATCAGATCCCTAATAGGTATTTATAAGGTGATACAACTATTTACTTTGTTTTCGAAAAAATCCCGACAGATTCAACAAAGTAAACTGCACCAGAAAAGCACCCTAATCTACGGTTAACTGGTGCAAGAAATAACTTTTAGCACCTGCAAAATAAAACTGCTTTCATTTAATCACCGCAGTGAAACTTTTCTGCCTACCATCAGCATGGTTAATGCTAAACTTTAGTAGAGCGACACTTTGTGTGTTCTTGGGCTCACATTTTTCACTGACATGAAGTCGGTGACTATATTGAATCAATTGATAAGTCTACTGCAAGGAAAGTTGATTCACTGTACTGTATCAGAAAAAAAAATCTCGTCAGAATCCATATTGTATATTTATACATCTACCATTCATTCGTGCATTGAATACTGCTGCCATATCTGGACCGGTGCTTCTACTGTATATCTCGAAATTCTTGACAAAGAAGGATGTGTAATGTAATCGATCTTGATTTGGCATCTCACACTCAGTCACTTTTTCATCGACGTGACTTGGATTTCCTCTGTCTTTTCAACAAAATATTTTCATTGCAAAATGTTCTGTACTGCATGAATTTTAGCTAGAAAGTTTGAGGTAAAACAATTTAGTAAATAATTATAGCGCATTATAATAAATAAATGTCCTGATGCTACACTGAGCATTGCTTTATATGCCTTATCTCAATTGTTTGGAGTTGTTAACATGTATATGTTTGGCGTTGGTGAATTAAGATGAGCTACGGTAAATATATCCCATTCTGTACCACAGATTTGCTTCTCAGTTGCCTGATCAAATCAAGCTGCGTATATCGCAGAGGCATAATACATATCTGTCCATGAGTGGGAGTAATGTGAGAATATTATAGCCGGGTGCTGAAAGTATTGTTTTTTGTTTTATTATTTTTTTTTAATTTTGAAGGCTGATGTAGCTTAGGAGACTTAGGTATCACATATAGATATTGGGAACATCCTCAATCGGAGACCAAGTGTAAGTTTTAATATCATTTTCCACATTATACCAGTTTGTTGTTTTTATCACAGTATTTCAGAAAATATATTCTACCTTCGACAAGTTTATATTACAGTTATAGGATTTTTTATGGAATTTTAAACATTATACAAACCAATATCCTTATTCTTGTTGTTTTTATCCTCTGTATTTCGGTCAGTATATTTTCAGCTTTCTTCAAGTGTATGTTACATATGTGGGATTTTAGAAGACAAAAATCTATTTTTTGGGCTTAACAAAGTATATTTTTTATACCAGGTCATTTGGAGAACTTTGAAGGACCCTTTGTTACTAAAGGTATAACCGTGGCTGGTATTGGATTTGCTATTTACAGCGGTCTTTATTCCTATATGGGGTGGTAAGTATACATAGTCCATTCATTTATAGTTGTTCTAAGGAGACTCATTTGAAAGAGCTGGAAACGTGTGCCGACAGAATAAAGCTGTTATACGATGGATGGTGAAAAGCTCTTGGTCCGGCTCAGAAACACTTTAAAAAAAGAAGAAAGAAAAAACAAACAAACTTAAAACTAAAAATAGATAATTCAGTAAGATTTTGGGAAGTGGGATAACTAACTCATCCAGACTGCCACTAAATGACGAATGTGATTTCATTTGTTATATTTTTTAGTTTTTTTTCTTCTACACAATCAACTCTGCATGTAAGAAGAACAAAATCTGTTTTAAAAGTACTTTTAAACATTTTTTACAATGATGTTCCCTCTATACAAAGCCGAAAAGCCACTCAAGGTAGAAGGTTACAGATTAACAGACACGGTTTTAAGAAGTACCGCGCACGCCCATTCGAAACGTTGATAAATTCTCAAGCCACCTCGGCAATTCCCTTTTGAGGACGCCTTAGGCGACGGGAAAGAAACCCAACCACCTCCCAAAGGAGAAGTACTGCCTAGCGGTGAGGTGGGGATGACCCACTGGTGCTTGAGCGAGTATTATCGACAGAAGAGCGATCTCTTCTACCAACCAGCCACCGATTGACACGACCACTGGCGTTTTTGAAGTGCTCATGTCTTATATTAACCTGCTGTTGGCATACATATACGTTTTCAGGACACCGTGAAAATGTCCGCCCTAGCGTCCATGTTATAAACTAACTAGCCATTAGTGCTATGTCCAAAACATCATAAGCATAATGTAGTGGACTATTTTCGGACATAGTTTTATTATATTGTATATTAGGGTGTCGTTTAGCGTAGTCTGTACAGCTGAGTACCCGATCGAAACCAAAATGGCAGCGCCCGTGATTAATCGTCGTCAGCGAATTTTATGGTCATTTATTTCCAGTAAATGGCAATTTCCCATTTTTTCCAAAATGGGCAGGCATAGCTGACCAACAAAGTTATAAAATGCAGCTGTGAAAGTGTTAAATTAAAACTGTGGTATGTGCAAGAAGCGTCACTGTTATCGATGCGGAAAGTAAAATCGGTAAACCGAGTTCAAGCTCCAGTCAAATCTGTAGTGTCCATTTTCGCACTAATGTCTTTGTGAAAGGCATGAATATATATTTTCTCTCTCTAGCCATGGATTAAATAGCAGAATATCTGGTCTTTCTAGCCTTGAGTGGCAATCCGTGTAGAAGGATAAAAAACGTGGAGAAAATAGCAGGAAGCTATTACGCTATCTTTCTCGCAAAAGTTATGGCAATTTACACATATTAAAGAGAGGGAAGTTGTGGAGAGCCCTAACTAATTGTATGGATATGGCACTTAAAGATAAAAATGTCTAAAATAAGACAAAACAAAAGAAATAAAAACAATGCATTCGCAGTTTGATTACTAATTTACTCATAAGATATTCACTTATTGGCATGGTGTATGCCTACTGCTACTGTTAGGATATTTCATTTCTTAGAAAGGATATTAGGATGCGTAACCGATACATATATAAATTCTATTTGATATTAGAGAAAGATTAGTGTCAATAAAAAGGTAACTAAGATATTATAATGTGGCCGTAAGCAATTCTTTGTTTAATGTGAGTTTGTCAGCAGTACCGTTGATAAATTCTCAAGCCACCTCGGCAATTCCCTTTTGTGATGATGTTGAATGTAAAATAAATTATTTATTTTACATTCAACATCATCACTTGATAAGACACTAAGAGTGTTGAAACAAAATGGCTATTTTTGTGGTGATTTTATAACATATTTATGTTATAAATTTTTTTAAATAAAGAATTATATCTGCTCTACTTTGTATTGAGCACTCTTTTAAGAATAGTATTTGTTGGTTATTGGAATTCATTCCGTATATACCAATCATATACTTGGGTATATATATATATATATATATATGGTGCCCCGCCCACGTGAATTTAAGAGTGCTACTAGATTGGCATTTAGGTCCCGCCCTTTTACTGTTGAAATAATTAAATATAACTACTACTTCTACTCAAACAGTTTATTTTCTCGCACTTCCCGCCCGTGGAATTCCCTTCCGTTTACTTGCCTCTCCGATAACTACAATTTTCCGAAATTTAAATGTAATGTCAATCGCCTTATTTATCTTCTTGAATCGCGTTCATATTTTATCGTTTCCTCAATACCCCATATACCCAGTCTTTTCTCTCACTTTCATTCTCTGTAACTACCTGCGTACTAGGGTGAAATGATATGCAAGTTTCATTAAAAACGACTAACAAGGTACCGTGGTTATATTTTTTCATATAATTTTTCATGTGTTCTTAGCATTATTTCCTTTTCTGGACGTAAATTATATAAAACTTGTCCAACTGTATTATATGCCCAACCGCTTTCTGCTATACTTTAAGTCATTATCAAGGATGAATTTTATTTTACATCTAACTGAATGTATGGGTTGTTTTATGTATCTAGGATTATAGGAATGTTTTCTTTTCAAAACACGGTCAACACATTGTAGCTGTGTTCATAGTTGATATTATTGAGTGTTGGCTTTCTTCTTTTTATTATAGAATTATAAAAAAAAACCTTGGCAATCGTTTTTAAATGAAACTTGTATAAAAGAGAGATTGCTATCCAAATGCACAATTATATATATATATATATATATATATATATAGACAAAGATAACGTTATATATGATAAAAAAAAGTATTAAATCTTTTTTAAAGGTGCCCATGTGGTCAAATAAGGCCATGAATATGATCAATTTCGAGGTCATTAGAATATCAAATACATCTTATTTTGACAATCCTGTAATATAATTACCGTTTATATATATATGATTGGGGTTGTTGTAGCTTCTTCCTTTAATGTCGTTCTTCTCATTCACCCCTTAGCCATCTATATCTAGAGACGAGACGCGTTAAATTTGAGCAACATCTAGCCGACACACTGGGGTTAAAAATAGGAAATTGAAATGATACATATGACACACTCATATCCTCTCTCCCACCTCACTTCCTCACTTCGTTAATTTTACGTATACTTGATGAGGTCCGTCAAAAACGTGTGAATTTCTTTTCATTTTTCATTTTAGCTTTGGGAAGTAAAGTCTGATGATCCAGAACCCTGTTAAAAGGGTTATGGTAAAATAACTTATTACATGGAATCTTAACGTGGTCTGTTTTTTTTTATATATATATATATATATATATATATATATATATATATATATATATATATATATATATATATTATAAAAGAGAAAGAACAGTAAGATATATAAACCGGTGTTCTTATTAATAGTTTTTATTTTTACAAAACAGTGCTCAGTGCAAATCTACAGAGCATAAATCTTATAAACTTACTAATTTCAAAATATGGTTCATCGCTACACAGTAATTACTATGTTTCAAAAACAAAAACTAAAATCTTCAAATTCAATTGCAGAACTAAGTTAAAGTCCTAGTACTGTTTCATTTTCAAACGAATTTTGGAATAACTTATTTTGAAATTTGAGTTTTATAAGCACATACATTATGTCAAAATAACAATTTGAAGTTTTTAGTTTCTGTTTTTGAAACATGGTATTTCCTGTGTAACGAAGGAACCATATTTTTATATTAGTAAATTTTTATATATATATATATATATATATATATATATATATATGAATAAAATTGTGGATATAGAAATCAATGCTACACATGTGACTGTCAGTTCTATACCTAAAACGATTATTAGTTTTACTGCTTTTAGTGAGATGAGTAATTTCTGGTCTTATGTGAAAGTGTTGATTTTTATGTCCACACTATTCGTGTCTATAACTGCTCGATCCATGGCATTGATCACCCTTCCCCCCTAAATATAATAAATTTTCAATATTATAATTATATACAGGAGATATCATATTCAAATCCTATATGTCAGACTTAATCAAAATACAAAATAGAAAATATCCTAACGTGTTTCGTCCACAAACGGAACTTCGGTGGTTGTATCGATGGGATAAATGGTTTTATCGATATATGTAACGGTATGATGGTGGGGGGGGGGGTCGTTAAATTACAACAGATGTTTGTTTTATCCCCCGCATATATAAGATTAAATCCTTTAATAAAGCACCTATTAGAGTGAAGAAATTCCTGCTGTGGACGTAACACATGGCTTAGGATTTTTACCACTTTATCATTCGATTACTCACATATATATATATATATATATATATATATATATATATATATATATATATATATATATATATATATGAGTTGTGGATAGAATTATTCAACCCCCACTTTCATAATTATAAATAAAGCTGTAATACCTCAAATTTTCATGGAAACTTCATGTTCATTTTTTTCACAAACGATGAAAATAGATTTGAAGGAATGTGCCGCGATGCTCACGACAATATTTTTATTTTAATGTCAAACAATAATACAAAAAAAAAAACACCTCCAAAATTTAATATAGGACAAAATTATTGACCCTCTTGCCTTAATAATCAATTGTGTAACCTTTATTCTTGATTATTGCCTTTAATCATTTTTGATAGTTCCTTACAAGAACACTACACCCACTGATAAGTATTTTGATTCATTCTTCCTTGGCAATATCTTCTAGTTTCTCCAAATTTGAATGACTTTTTTCTCTTTTTTCTTCAAATAAATTTTGAATGTGGTTTAGGTCAGGACTCTATGCAGAGTACGCCAATACCTTAATTTTTGCTGTTATTTAAGTATTTTGTAACAATTCATACCGTGCGTTTCGGGTCATTTGGAACGTCCAGTGAGGCCCCCAAAACAGCTTTTGTACACGTTGTTTTATAATATCGTATAAATAATCACGATACATCTACTGTGAGACAAAAAAGCCACTGCTTACGAAATAGTACAAGCAACTATGCCAAAGCTCATATTAATAAGCTAGAAACATTCTGGCAAAAGGTTTTATGGTTGGATGAGACCAAATTACAGCTTTTTGGGAAGAACAATAGGTGGTATATCTGGTGAGCTTTTAATATGGCTTTTAAAGTGAAGAATTTGATACCAACCATTAAACATGGCGGTGAGACAGCATTATGATTTGGGGGTGCTTTGCTGTAGCTGGAACAGGCAAAATACTACGCATTGACGGCACAATAGACCCTGAAAGATACCAAGCAATTTTGGACGAAGGTGTCATGTCCTCAGTTCAAAAGTTGGGTTTAGGTCAAGGCTGAAACTTTCAACAGGGCAATGATCTGAAGTATCAAAGCAAATCCACAAAACAACATCGTTTTATGAAATGGGAAGGTTTGTCAATGCGTATAAAGACATCAATTGTACAGAGAATGCCAGCTGACTATGAGGACAAAATAGTAAAGTTTCATAAATTTGTTATACATGCTCGAAAAAGAACTCCTTTTGGACTAGGTCAGATAGAAAATATGGATGTAGTCCCACTAACGTTTGATGTTCCATCAAACAAAACTGTGAATATTAAGGGATCCAAGACTATTACAATAAAAACCACAAACCATGAGAAGACCCATTATACTGCCATTCTTGCATGTTGTGCTGATGGCACAAGTCTGCCAAGTTTTTTTTTATTTCTAAGAGTAAAACTACACCGAAAGATAAAATACCAAAAGGTGTGCATGTTTATGTTCATTCAAAAGGATGGATGGATGAAGCTGGTCTACCGTTATGGCTACGAGCTGTATGGGAAAGACGTCCTGGTGAACTATTACAAAAGCCCTCTCTTCTGGTTTGGGATCAGTTCCGAGCGCATAGGACTGAATCCATTAAAAAGAAATGGCAGAATTAAAGACAGAGATAGCGGCTCTTCCTGGTGGACTAACGAGTCAGTTGCAACATCTGGATGTGTCTTTGACCATTCAAGTAAACCATGAAGGAACAATGGAACACGGGCAATGCATTGCATAAGTCTGCGAATGGGTGAAGCAAGCTTAGGATAACATTAGACCAGGAATTGTTGTGAAATCTTTTAAAAGGTGTGGCATTAGCAATGCTCTCAATGGAACGGAAGATGATGCATTATTTAATGACGATGATAATAGTATTGAAAGTAGTATCAGAGTTTTGATAACGAAGACGAGGAATTCTATGAATTCGAAGATGAATAAAATTTTAATGGTAACTACTGTTTTGCTCAATTGTAATAATTGCTTGACTTTTATTGTTTTCGCACGTTCGGATATAATAAAGTTTTTATAGGCTCTTGTTCTTTTTTCCTATTATTTTTCGTTTAATTGTAATCATGGCTTGTTTAACCAAAATAATGCCTCATAAATATAGCCTAGGCTATACCATTTACTAATAATTGTACTAATTTTACTAATTACTAATTTTTTATTGATTTGCCTTGCTGAAATTAGAGTGCGTCTTATACACCCGTACGTCTTATATGCCGTCAAACACGGTAGTTCTTGCACAGCAGTGGCAGCGTATACAGTGGATTAATAAAAATGTTGTTCTCCCCCATGACAATGCAAGACTGCTTACATAAGAAAAAACTCAGGAAAAAATCTGGAAACTAGGTTAGTCTGTTCGACCTGACTCGCCATATTCACTTGACCTTGCGTCAATTGATTATTACCTTTTTTTGCTGTGAAACTCTTTTATGTAGAAACTTTCTCTAAGAAAAATCTGATTCAAGAATTCGTCGAAAAATCTTTTCCCATTAAAACCTGCAGAATTTTAAATCAAACTGCTGTTCGATAAGTGGAAACAAGTCATTGTAAATAATTAATGAACATATAATTGAATAAAATGTAATTGTACTTTAGTTTTTTAAGAGTAAAATTAATAAAAATAGAAATTATTTGTGGCACAATATTTTAATATTAATTTCTTTTAGTATTATCACAGCTAGATTAACTGCTAATTTTTTTTTTTAAATTGATCACACCACTTTTATGCAGCAGAGCGGCCATGTTAATGAATTATCCTTAATTGTTTTTATAATGCTCACGTAAAAGAAGCGAAACGATAAGAAAGAAGAAATATTTTCAAAATCTTGTTTTCCATGTATTCCATTTTACGCAGACACAGACACACACTACTTTAAACGCAATATTTTAGTAGATACACATGTTTGAATAGAAGCCCTTTTTTAAAACAGTGTGAATTACATCTACCGGCTTGTAAATTCGGAAGTCTTAATAAAGATAATGTGCTCTCAGGCAGGTTTGAACATTCCTTTATTAAGACTCGCGAATGCACAGGCCAGTAGATGTAATTCACACTGTTAAAAAAACCAAAAAAACGGAGCATCTACTCAAACACGTGTATCCATTAAAATATAGTGTTTAAAGTAATCAGAACTTATATATATATATATATATAATATATATATATATATATATATATATATATATATATATATATATTCTGTGTATTTAGGCAGCAAATGTTGTTTAAGGCAAAATATTATTAAAAAATAGGCATTTTGTGTCGATTAATTTCTTGTACTTTTCTTCCGAAATAATCTTCGGACAATTTCTAACGGAATTTCCTCCTTGTCTGAGAAGGATTATTCGTAATTTGGAAAAGTCGATCAATAAAATTAATCGACATGAAATGTCTGTCGTTTTTAATAATAATAATATATATATATATATATATATATATATATATATATATATATATATATATATATATATATACAGTAGGTGGGGAATAAATATTCGTACGTCATGAAATCTTTTAATTAACTTAGTTATAACTTATAAAAAATTTAAATCCATACAATATTTCCAAAATATACCAAGATATTTTGGACTCCAGTTTATTTGGGTCAGTAGTAAAGCTTGGACTCCCAAATGAATGGGTTTTGCAAGAAGATAATGACCCTAAACATACGGCTAAATCTACAAAAAATGGCTTATTGAAAACAATGTCAGTATACACGAATGGCCATCACAGTCTCTAGACTGGGATCCAGCAGAGAATTTGTGGTGCTTATTAAAAATTCAAGTTAATAAAAGAACCCCGAAAAACATTCTGGACCTAAAGAGAATATGCAAAGAAGAATGTAGTAGAATACCAACAGAAATTTGCAAATCATTGATTAGTGCTGGGCTATTGAGCGGCATTTAAACTAGCTCCGACGGAGGGTTCTTGATTGAGCCTTCATCACAATAGGTAAGAAAGAACAGATGCTATAGCCAACAATAAACTATAGAAAATTGAACACTGCATTTAAGTATTGCATTAATATTTAAGGTTACTTTTTAAAAGTTCAACGATAATTCTTCTGTCGCCACTTAATTTAAAGACAATTTGATGTACGTAGGTCCTTACTTTCCGTACAAACAATTATTTTTATTTCATGGGTGACTTTCGCTGGATTTCGTAATTAATTTCTATTATTCTCAAATTTATTCCTAAGTTATAAAAATTGTTATCGTGCAAAAACATTCGTCGCAGAAAATCACGTAATAAAATCGCCGAAAACAATCGGCAGTAATGAAAACTTGGGAATTCAAAATTTCAGGATTGTGGGCCCGGGTCAGGGCCAGAATGGTTTTAATTTGCTCACGAAGTCGGCCTGATTCCAAAATGGTATTATATTTAGTGCTACGGCCTCTAGAAGGAAATTTGGAAAAGTGAGACGCACTGACATTCGCATTTATTATATTTATTATATAGATATATTGCAGGGGGACGTATGACAAAGTGGAAAAAGTTTACTTGTGACGCGATTCGTCTTTTTGTATATCATCGGACTAAATTTGTTATGTTGGTGCAACTACACATGTGCACGAGCAAGAGTTGCTGAGAATTTTAAATTTAAAATGTTTTTTTTTTTTAATTTAAATAAAAAATACTAGCATCCTTCGTTCGTGTGCATGTGCAGTCACACCAACATAACAAATTCAGTCCGATGATGTCCTAAACGCTTCACAAGAAAACTTTTTGTGACTAGCTAAATCTAGGATGTAATTGCTGATTTTCAAGTCACGCAGGGTCTTTGAACTTCAAAGATTCGTGTAACATAACCTTACATCAAGCTTTTATCCACATCTCAGGCTAAATTAAGTTTAGTAAATATGTATACAACACACACGCACACACACACACACAGTCACACTTATACACATACACACATGCTTTTGTGTGGTTTATTCTGTTTCGTTTATTTCAGGGACTCCTTAAATTTTGGCTATGAGGAAATAAAAAGAGCAGAAAAGTAAGCAACTTTTACTTTTGTTAACAATTAACTGAATAAGGATTTTATTTTTTTAGTTGCTGAGGACTCAATTCCTTCAAATTGACCTTGATTTCCTTTGAATTTTACATCTGTTAGAGATTTAAAAAAATATAATCGGAAAAGTCTGTGAAAATATATCATTCATTGAATTGATCTTGGTATCAATTGAATTTCACTCTAGTACATTATTTACATTATTCGGACTGTTGTCCTCATCTTTGTCGTCATATTTATCACAACGTTTCGGCCGTTGTACGCTCCGGCCTTCTTCAAGTGGTTGGAATTTCGAACCGAATAATGTAAATAATGTACATAATACCTCATCTCAGAAATATAAACATTTACTCTAGTCGTTTACGAAATTTCATCCAATACTGCGAGTTGCGCGTTTAGTGAGTGAGCTGTGTAAGAAAAAGGTGTAGAAAGTTAACATTATCAATATAAGGAGGATAGATAATGATTAACCCTTGACTTAAATCTGTTAAGATTGTAGTTTCAGGAAAGCATCCATGTGGGAGTATGATCCGAAAACTAGCAGTTCTTGGGAGAAGCTGTCTGAAAGGGACTTCCTCTTTACATTTGGAATACAGAGGGGATGAAGGGGATTCGATTCAGTGAAAGTAGCATGGCAGCTTCTATCTGTAAAATTCTGAGCTGGTGGAACTAAAATAGAGCTCTTCTAAATGTTAAATATAGTTATATAGAATAGTAATGGAACTGTTTTTCTGGTCACTTATCTGGCGACATTCTGGTCAAGAGACTTCTTCATGCGCATAATGTTTAAATAAATCTGAAGAAGTTTCAAGTTTAGGGTTGAAACATCGCTACCGTGATCTGTCTACGCGTCATAGAGAACCAAAGACTCAACAGATGATAATCGAAAGGAGCCGAACCAGGACTACTCGTCGGATGTCAAGTTGGCTATGCGTGAGGTGACTTTGCCATGCAGCAGGAAATACTCTTATGCACACATTTTGGTCCATTCCTATGAACATGCAGCACGCAGTATGAAGTGTACGCAATGCACACCATCCCAAAACATAGATGCCGTTAATTTCTCCGCTATTTGCTGGCCTTTAAATTGTGTTGATTGGTGACCATCATTTCCATGGAACCAAACTGTGATACACTCAGGTCTCAGCACCCGTGATCACGGACTTCAGAAAGCTAAAAAAAAAAAATGTCCATTTACTGAAATTATTGTTCTTCAGTCAGTTACTTCAGGGACCGAGTTGTATTTTTGACCTTGGCAAAAAATCTTATTCAACCTCGCGCCTCAATGCTTTTTATGAAGATAGTCTTCATTTCTGTGACGTCACATCTGCAAACGTTCAAAATTGTGTTCTAGCTGTCACAAGACGTATTATATAACCCCTGTTGCTTTGTGTTAGCAGCTTCTCACAGGGTTTTAATTTGACTCAATCTATACATAACTCTCTCACATACATACACATATATAGTGCTCAATATTGTGTATTGGTTCTCAACCGTTTTTGCCCAATGCATCCTTTTGACCCAATATCAGAATGCTATCCTCCCCTTTCCAAGATTGTCCGGCTCAAAAGATTTATTCCAAATAATATGCATATACAATTGAAAAATTTAATTCTTTGCCATATTACTTCGTATACATTTATTACATAGATTATTTTTATAGAGGAGTTTTACAAGTTTAATAGCAAGAATTGTTAATCACCTATTAGGGATTGAACTCGCTGCACAACAGTAACTGTCTGCCAGAATAGCTCAACCATTAACCTAACTTTGCTGCTTATGGATAGACATTTATCAAGCTTTCAACAAGGTCAATAGTTTTGGGAACTCAGTGGGGATCAACGTCAGTCCAGTGTTGAATTAGCTTGCTACCAATTACCACAAAGTGAGAGAGTAAGAAACAAATACAATATAATTATATAGTCGACTTACCTCTTATTAAATATAATATAATTATATGGTCGACTTATCCCTTATTAAATATAATATAATTATATGGTCGAGTTTTTATTATCTAAATGTCTTTTAAGTCTCTAACAGAAGAAAAATGGAAGGATATCAAGGTCAATTCGATTCAATTGTTAAGTCTATGAGCATTTAATTGGTTCGGGAATAGGTTAATATTGGTCGTTTATGTTTGAGTCTATAATAACATATTTGGTATTTGACCTTCTTATTTGTGGGGTCGGTTGTCTTATCGAACCGCAGACTAAGTTGTCAGTATATTATAGAACTCCCTCCAACAGGACACTAATATTGTGTAATTGAATAATTCCCAGACCTTTTATATACGAATGGTGCTGAAAGTTCACGTTCTGATCAAGAAACCCTTTTTAATTGCTAATTTGGCCAGACTTTCATGAGTTGGATGGACTGAGAATTTTATATATATATATATATATATATATATATATATATATATATATATATATATATATATAAACTAGGGGAATGGGTAATTCTTTCAAGAAATATACAGATTAATATTCGGTTGAACAAAACTTTCCAACCACAATTTTTCAACTAACATTTCTTTTAATTCTACCCACTAATGCTTACCATAAATTCCAGTATTAATTGTAAGAATTAAAAACAAAACCCAGTGTTAATTATAGGTTTATAAAAATCTGGTAATGTTATCAAGTATTATTAATTTCCTTAAATCATTTACTACTCTTGATTTCCATAATACCTTAATTAAGTATTTTCAATTCCCTTAACGCATTATTATCAACTCCCTTAACCCATTAATTAAATATTCTTAATTTTCTTAACACATTAAATATTATTAATTTCCATAAACCATTAATCGAGTATTGTTAATTTATTTAACCCATTATTTAATTATTATTAATTTCCATAACACATTAATTATTATAAATTTCTTTAACCCATTAAGTATTAATACAGGTCGTCTACAAAATGATCCAGTAAGCATTAATGATTTAAAGAAATCATAGAAGTTATCTCTGATGTTTTTCAGCACTTTACTTGCTCGTAATACAACTGCCACCACTATTACAGTGTTTACAAGTTTTACAAAAACTTCAGCTGATATAGAGATGTGTTTTACATCAACTTATAAAAAAGAATTACGGTCAGAATGCATGTATTTTATTTTTGATTGAACACAAAAAAATCATTCTTTGTCATTTGTTGATGATAAATTATTTCTTTATAAGAAATCAGAATTAAGAAGACCATACTTAGATCTTGTCCAGACTTCAACATCTCCACCTAAATCGAGTGAGCAAAAACAGTCTCTTTTTGGTAGAATTCAAAAGAAATTATTACAAATTGCTGAAACTGGAAAAAAACGTTATTGCACAAAGCTAATTGCATGCGCTAAGTACTTTTCCGTTATGGGCGATTATGGCTCTCCACAATTTCTTGTCTTATGTTGCCCTAAGCATTTAGCCATTACCCATTACCATCCTTCTTTGTCCTCCGTCTACCATTTAGTTGTAGGAAATTCGATCGTTCAGTTTTTTTATATATTAAAAAAATCTGAAAATCCGGATTCCAGACAATAAAAAATATATATATATATATAAAGCATGGGTATGCCTGTTAAATAAATCAAACCTTGTATTACATATGTTTGTATTACATATGTTTACCTATTCCTGAATGAAGTAAAAGCTTACACGCTCAAATAGAAACGACCAAATCTTTACCTATTCCTGTACCAAGTAAAAATTTTTACATTCAGATATGAAAGATCAATATTTACCTCTCCCCAAAGCGAGTAAATGTTTATATGCTCAAATAGAAACTACCAATATTTACCTATCTATGGAGCAAATAAAAGTTTATAGATTCAAGCACAAAGTGCGGCAGACATAAACTCCCATATCATGATAAGTAACTAGATGAAGATACCATTGCCACTAATGTCTAACCATCATGTGTTAATTTTACATAGGACGCATTTTGCCGCACCCATTATAATCGACAGATATTTGCCCTTCCCCGAACTAAATAAATGAACATCTACTGAAACAGAAAAGGTCAATAATTATCAATTCCTCAACGATTAAAAGATTATAGACTCACATACAAATGACCGATATTTACACATCTTCCAGAACCCATTAATTCTCATAGACTCAAATATAAACACCCAACAGTTACGTATCGACTCAAGAATAAAAGGAGTGATTTCCACTTTAAACAAACCAACAGGTGTTGATATGCCGTAAAATCCCCAAAATATCCGAAAATCATATCGCTCTTTCATATCGAAATCTTAGCCTTTTTTGTCTTAGTTCAGAAATAGGTAAATATTGGTCGTTTCTATTTGATCGTGTACGCTTATACTTGGTTCGATGATAAGTAAATATTGGTCCTTGCTATTTGAGCGTATAAAAATTTACGTGCATTTGGGAGAGATAAATATTGGATGTTCATATCTAAATGTAAAACTTTTTACTTGGTTCAGGAATAGGTAAAAATTTTGGTCGTTTCTATTTGAGTGTGTAAGCTTTTACTTCATTCGGGAGTAGGTAAATATCAATCCTTCCTATTTAAGCCTATAAACATTTACGTGCTTTGGTGGAGGGGGTAAATATTGGTCGTTCAAATCTAAATTTATAACCTTTTATTTGGTTCAGCAATAGGTAAATATTAGTCGTTTCTATTTGAGCGTGTAAGCATTTACTTGGTTCGGGGATAGGTAAATATAGATGGTTTCTACTTGAGCATATAAACATTTACTTCTATTGGGGAAGGGTAATATTTGTCGTTCATATCTGAATCTATAACATTTTACTTGGTCCAGGAACAGCTATATATTGGTAGTTTCTATTTGAGTGTGTAAGCTTTTACTTGGTTCGAAGATAGGTAAATATTGGTCGTTCATATCTGAATCTATAACACTTTACTTGGTTCAGGAATAGGTAAATATTGGTCGTTTTTTTTTATTCCGTTTCACCCCAAGCAAGGCAGAAATCCACTAAGACAGAAGAGGTTACTGGGTTTGGAAC